TCCCCAGAGGATTTCAAATTGATTTGCCTCAGATGTAAGTCTTTTGTTGGAAAGGTGACTTCAGCTGGTCACCCAAATAATGTACCAATTATTCGGTGATGGCCTGTGTATATGTTTGCCAGGGCTACATAGGTGATCGTTAAATATTCACAGCTGCTTGTTTGAATTCTCTGCAGCCTTGGGCATCCACTTAGTTTCCCAACAGGTAGCTGTACTTAACACACTTCTGTCTGCCTTGCTAAATTAATAGTTTTATTTTTTTTTTAAACAACTCTGTGGAAATGTTATCTTGAGAGAAAATTGATTTGTTGTAGTGTTAGTTACTTGTGTTCCTGGCTTGGCTGTTGGTGATGATCAACACTTTTGCCATTCATTAAAAGTGCTCCACTGTCTTGGAGCCATCATCTCAACCCCACATCTCCTGCAAGGGTTCATTGCCATAGTTTTGCTGTAACTCCCCCTTCTGACCAGTGTGTCCAGGGGATTGATCTGGTGGTACTCCGTAGATGTTCGCTGACATAAATGCACTCGCGCTATAAGAGGAATATTTACCAATAGCATATTTTTAATATCACATGATCACCCCCCCAGCAACTTATCTTAGGACTGAATGATCCCATCCTGGTAAGATATGCTATTAACAAGAAAAGCCCATATGGGAAGTGAAGTCCATCCCACTGCATTAGTGCCTCAGTGGGAGGGGCTGACGTGGCCCAGTGCAGAATAAACAAATGCTTCCTGGACCTGGAGCCTGTGGGCTTTCACCTACCTCCTCTTCTGCTGTCCTGCAGGCCCCAGCGTCTGCCCTAAGAGCTGTTGCAAGTAACACTTTGACGTTCCCCAGGGGGGCATTGGAGGCCACAGGTCTGATGACATGTAATGTTATCTTATCTGCCTCTGCACATTCCATATGTTAGGATCACATGTCTTACTGACCACCTTTAAGTGATGCTTAATGTAAATTTAATTTTTTTTTAAATCCGTAGTTGTCTTCCAGTATCCATCTGCCTTGTGCATCTTGCATGGTTATTAATTAGCTGTTAAATATTATTCCACCTATTGGATTAAAATTTTATGTATTACCTTCTTTTTAATTGCTCCTTTCCCCCCCACTGTTAGTGCTGTAAGGTAATGGGGGTAGAGGTATTGTTGGTGGTATAGGATGAAGGGGGGTGTAGCTGGTGTAGAATATTGCTGGAAATTTAAACTGGAACGCTCCCTGAAGTTGTAATTCCGACTTGCGAACTCAGAGGAATCGACACAACCCTGAGCTCAGAATTCAAGATGGCTGTGCGCTTTACAACAGAAGTTAAAGCTGTGGTTTTATACTGTTTAGTAGCACTTGCGTCTTATTTGTGGCTCATTAAATTGCTTGTACACTCAATACTGTCCAACCACTATCTGTGGATGTGGTGTTATGCAAAATCTCACGTAATGTGTTGTCATCCACGGATTTTGCTAACAATTAACCAGGCTAGAACTGGGGCTCATTTCATTAGGTAGGATTTCTTGCTGACAACTTGTTGGATTTAAGGTAGTCTGGGCTAAATGTAAATGAATGACAATGTAAATTTAAATTGGGTTAAATTAAATCTGACAAGTTATTCAGGCAAGCAAGAAATCTTGCTTTTTGAAGCAGGTCCCTGGACTGCTAAAAGGCGTTCGGACTTTCTGTACTGGAACACCGTTAACTTGTGTGTGACGTCATTTCCAGTTCCGAATTCTGACCTTCGAGGTAAATGGAACGTAGTTTAACTATAGGCTGATTTATACCTCTGTGTCGATTTGGGCTTTTGTTCCAGTCCCGGAGGGCAATTTGCGACTCCTGGAATCATCCTGGCTTAATGGCCAGTGTCACTGGCTCCAGTGTGCCAGTGGAGGGTTTGGACCGCTCTTGTTACAGTAGGAGAGAGGCCATTTTTGGTTTTAAGACTGTTTGCTGCTGTTTTGTAAAGTGAGAACCAAATGATATTTTCCCCTATTACAATCAGGAACCTGCATTGGGTTCTACTGGTGGTTCTAGGGTTAAAAAACAAAAGGTGACTGTATACTTTACACAATGTCCGGAGTAACACATGCACATGGCAAATAAACACATTGTAATAAAGGAGATGACTGGTCTTTTAACATGGAAGTTGCTGTTTTTAACAGCCACAACTTGCCTAATACTAGCTGAGGCACAGACAGGAAAGCCAAAAAGTTGCATGACATTTTACACGCTAACAAAATGGATGCATTCCATGGCAAGCATTACATAGTTACGGCATTTACTATTGACAGCATGAATACACAAATGCAGACACATTCATTTACACTATTTACAGACAGGTGGGGTGCAGAGCATCCAGGTAACTGCATAATTAGTCCTTCTGACCAACCCTGCCATGTCACATTATGTCAGCCAATTCATCTGGGTGCGATCAAAGTTCACAGCTGGGACGTTGCACAGGTGGTCCGTCGAACGGTGATCGGCACAGTGATTACAGCCCATCTGACGTTTTATTTTTAAAGTGATGTTGATTTTGTTTGAAGTATATGGCCACTTTAAGGGTAGACTAGAGCAGTGTTTTTCAACCTGTCCCCGGGGATCCCTAGACTGTCCACGTTTATGCTCTCTCACAGTTGGTCCCCAAGGACTGGTTTGTGAAACACTGGACGAGGGGATCAGTCCTTAGTTGCTGTAGTGCTGATTAGAGGTCGACCTCTAGTGCTGATCTTGCGTCACAACATACTAATGCCATCAGACGGCAATGTGCAGGCCAGCCTGATTTCGCTTCAGTAGAAGTGTTCAGTCCAGTGGGCTGCAGGGGTGTTCCGCTTGTGCTCGTGCCCGTTTTAGGTTGTGTGTTCCCGCACAGCTGGGCCCATTCCTCTGCTCTTCTTGGCACGTCGAGCCGCTCTGTGTGGCCCCAGGGGTCTCCAATCACCCTCAGTATGTTGATCAGCTTGGAGGCTTGGGGTTCAGCCCTCATGCTTGTCCCGACAGGGTGGTCAAACTGCATGTCGAAGCCTCGCCCCTCCCTCACAGCCGGCCTCTTTGACGTGTCTGTTGATTTTTCAGAGATATCTACAGAGATATCAGTTTAAATGATGAGGATTCATTCATATTGTATTCAAATCAAATGTTAGCAGGATATCTGCTGTTACTTCCCATCTGTGTGTAACTGTAATGCCATAAAAGGCCTTTGATTTAGCCTAATTAAATTAGTGTTGAATTTAAGTAACAATATTTAAGCCTTTAATAGTCCTTGATGCATCAGTCTTTTTATTAATTTATCTAGTTATACTAGACAACATTTATTTTTGTTAGTTTTAAAAAGGTAAGTTAAAGAAGTAGCTGTTCATGCAAGTCCCTGAGTAACAGATTCTTGGTATCTTAAGCCAGCCTAATTAATCAAGTTCCGCTAGATGGGAGACCTGTGGGCTCAGTGTGCCGAAAAGGCCCAGGAATGGCAAATGATGTACTGGGGGCCACAGCAGACGAAAGCCAAGAGTCTGAAAAGGCTGTACAAGGCTGTTGTGTTAACATGTTTAGGGAGACTTTTCCTGAGAGTCCTGAGAGGTTTGGCTAATGGAAAACATCCCAGACAGCCGCTACTGTGTGTTAATGGAGTTCCAGCTCTCTTGGCAGCCTGATTTATAGGGAGAATACCGGAGTACTGGTGTTAAGCCGCAAATCGATACAGCACTGAAGTGGAGCTTACCGCCTTGGCGCTGCAGGGGTCATCCCTATCCTCCCTGCTTCATTCTCACGTTTCTGACACAAACAGGGCTTAATAAATTGCTCTTTATCTGGACATTGTTTCTGACTGGACATTGTTTCTGATCCTTAGTGGTGGGAGGCCGCTACGACCTCATCTCTTTGTAGGTGGGTCTCCCTTGCTCTGCTGGACATCCACATCCTGCCCGTGGCTGCAGGTAGTAACACTGGTCCCTGTGTCCATCCTGTGTAGATTGAGGAATCTTAGCAGTGGAGGGATTTAAATGGTCCACTCTGTGAGAACAGGGTGTGGCATCCTGTTTGTTTATGGAGATACGGCTCAGGATGGAGTGACTGAGTGGTGGAACTGGTGGGTTGGATGGTTCTGCATCTATCCTGTCTGCAATTGTATAATTGTTTTTTTGACCGCCTTCTGCTGGTGATATGGTGTAAATGCTGTTTTATATTGGCATCGCAGAAGATTATTCCTTTTGGGGTCCTTTTAGGTTCCTATGCTTTGTTCCTCTCTTAAGCTCTGTGATTGTGCCTCCTCCCTCCCCCTGGGGCTTTTCCCTGTGCTCTGCTCCTCTCTTGAGCTGTGTTATTGGTCTGCTTTGTTACCCCCACCATGCCCCCTCCACCAGGACATAGCCGGGCAGTTCTTAAGGATGCTCCACACAGCTCTGTGCTGGAAGTGATTACCCAGCAGTTCATTATGTGCTTCAGCGGGGGGAGGAGTGGCCCCCGCTGCCTTTTAGTGGTCAGCCCCCACCCTGCCCCCTAGTTTCCGGGAAGCTGTGCAGTACCAGTACTCTGCTCCTCTGTCACAGAGAGAGGATTCAGAAACAGATGCTGACAGCCCTGCCTGGGGTGTCAGAGCAGCGTGGGTGGGAGTGGGGGTGGGAGTGGGGGGGGGGGGG